CAATCTCAAGTTTTCTCAGGAAAATATCCACAAAAAGAAAGGTCCTTGCTTCGTGAACCTATTGCATCTCGGTGCGACAAACAGCCGCAGAGAAAGCCGGAGTTCTAAGGAGCCGCAATCGAGATCAGGTCAGGGCGATAAGTGACAGGTGGGCGGTGCTCTCCCCACTCGAGTCGTTATACTCCTGGGGCAGGAGCAACGACAATGGACAGCAAATGGTCCACAAAGTAGGAGACTTTGAAGTCACAGAAACAAGATGGGAAAGAAGGAAGACGGGGAAAAGAGAACAGATGGAGGGGACTGGACTGCGGACGGCTGCTGCCGCAGGGCGCAGGCATCCAGATTCTGTGGGCCCGTGATTGGTCGCTGATGTCAGCCATCACACCTGAGGCAGCATTCTTATCACGCTGCATCCGTGGGTCTTGGTTGGAGTGGCTCGAATCATTTGCCAATTCATATTTAGACTTGTGGGCTTTCTCTATGGATTGGTGTCAGATTCCTACTTGCGGGTTCCGTATTTGCTTGCTGCTAATACTATGCCCAGCTCCAACGGAATGACAGTCATACGTCCGATAACGTGCCACCAGAAGTGCTATTACGAGGACCACTGTGGCTACTATTCTCGACCACTCGACATTATACAAGGCAGAGCTACTTCTTGGACTAATAAACAAGCATTCGAATTAATTAACAAAATGCTTGTGTCTCCATCGCTAGGAGTGATAGGTAGTTATACTATGGTGTTCCCCAATCGGGTAAAATCTCGTATCGATAAGAGATAAGACTCCCCGCCACCTGGCCGTATCGATAAGGACTGACATAATCAGGTACCCCCGCCGACGGGCCGATCTACTAAGTTTTTTTTTTGTGAGTTGATTTTGGCCCCGCGCCGTTGGTCTACATTACTCCTGTTCCCTAAAATCCACCACCATGCCTTACGACAACGAAGTCCACGAAGCCGTCCGCAATGCGCAACCGGCGCAGATTCCCCCTCACCGGTCACACGACCCCTCAAACAACTTGAAGCGTTCCGACCCCTTCAAATTCGGATCGCGATTCCTGGAGCAAGGCGACGACGTCTTCGAATTCAACGCCTGGGACCACGTCGAACCGGATGACGAATTCAAGGCTTTCGCCGAGACCCAGTACGAAAAGCAGCGTGCGGCACCCGTTTCTGAGTTCGATCAAACCCGTTTCAACAATGACCCCGCCAAGTGGTGGAACAATTTCTACAAGAACAATACGGCCAATTTCTTCAAGGATCGCAAGTGGCTGCGCCAGGAATTCCCCGTTCTGGCTGATGTCTCCCAGAAGGAGGCTGGGCCGAAAGTCGTCCTCGAGGTTGGCGCCGGCGCGGGAAATACTGCCTTCCCCTTGATCAGGCATAATGAGAATGAGCATTTGAAGGTTCATGCTTGCGATTTCTCCAAGTATGCGGTTCAAGTCATGCGTGAGAGCGAGGAGTACAATACGAAATACATGGTCGCCGATGTGTGGGATGTCGCTGCAGAGCCCACCGAAAGCGAAGATTCCCTGCCCCCCGGTCTGGGCGAGGGATCTGTCGATGTGGTCGTTCTCATCTTTATCTTCTCTGCCCTCAACCCAGGTCAGTGGAATCGCGCTCTCCACAATATTTGGCGTGTTCTGAAGCCCGGCGGTTGCGTTTTGTTCCGTGACTATGGTCGTGGAGATCTCGCGCAGGTGCGCTTCAAGAAGGGCCGGTATATGTCGGAGAATTTCTACATCCGCGGTGACGGTACTCGTGTCTACTTCTTTGATATGGAGGAGCTGCGACAGATGTGGAGTCGCTGGACCCCGGAGAAGGGTGTGCAGATTGATCTCGAAACTGAGCCCGAGTCTGTGGCCGCCGAGCCTGCTGCGCCGTTCGAGATCATGCACATGGGAGCTGACCGCCGACTCATCGTCAACCGCCAGAGCAAGTTGAAGATGTACCGCTGCTGGATGCAGGGCAAGTTCCAAAAGCGCGATGATACCGCTACAACAAACCTCAGTACCGAGAACGGTGTCGAGAACGGCGAGTGAATATGATTCTTGCCTACCATATATTTTCGACATATGGTGCGTCCAGTACGACAGCCAGCCTCTTTGGATGAACAGGTGATATAATTCCTTCTCGCATAATGGCATTTTCTGCGACAGGACGTTTTTACTGTTCCGTTGCACGACGTCTCGCTTGCATTGGATCGATATGCCCATCTCCACCCCTCTACCTCCATGGCAAGGAAATAACGGCCAGACGAGGGCTTTCACGAGGGTCATATGTTCAGAACCTCCCTCGCATGGCCAAAAACGCTATATTCGACCATGCCGATACTGTTCCCATTAGACTTGTGGGCTTAAGACAGTTAGCTTCAATGGTGTCTACGAATCATGTCATGACGGCGAGCACGACGAAGATGATAGAAATGTTTGCATAGTTTTTTTCATAGAGCTACGATATATAGATACGCATTCCAAGCATGATGAGATCAAGTGTTTCGATGAGCATCTTCCTAAGCCTTAGGATAAAAATCAAAGTGAATACGAGCTAGATTGTTGAATAGAGATTTGTGCATGCTTTAGCAATTCTAGCAAGGCGGTATTGGAAATCATCCAATCAAAGCAAAAAGCCAACTCAAAGCGCGACATATGCAACACGTAATTAGATACACGAAGGGGGCAAAAATGGGTTCGAGACCCAACCGCAAAATGAGCGCTCTCATCTCTATGCAAGCGGAACCAACAAGCCCTCAAAGGCGAGAAGGTTTTTGAAGAAGAAGAAAAGAAATCGACAAGAATCAGCAAGAAACAAAAACTCCATCGATGCTCCGGAAAACGACAGCCAATCGGCACACAGAAGCGCGGTGTCTATGAGATCTGAGGGAAACATTGTTGCATAGAAAGAACCAAACATTTTGAGCAACTCTAAAAAAAGTGAGAGGCAGACAAAGTCTGATCATACTCTCAACTTCGTTTATCATAAGAAAGCGAAGGCAGACGTAAAATTGTCATTTTCGGTAGTAGCGATGGGCCACTAGCTTCACGACGTCAGATTGGGGCACTCGCCCTGGGCACGCTGGAAAGCGTTCGCGAAGAGATCCTGCATAGCACAGTAGTGGAAGAGGATGCCTCCCAACACGGCCAAATGCCAGATGTTGTGGCTACCACCGAAGTAGTCAAAAAGACCCGGCTTCCAACGCTCGGGGACCTTGGAGGCATACACGCAAGCGCCGACAAAGTAGACCATGATACTCTTCACAACGGGAGCGTAAAAGTACATGCACCATGCGAAGCCACGAGTGTAGGAGAGCTGTGCAAGAGGGGCGAATCCAGTGAGAGCCAGGGTGACGTAGAAAGCCACGCGGGCCCAAGCCATGTCGTGACGATTGAAGGTTGGGTGCCACGGGAGAATGATACCACCAATACCGAGGCACATGGTAAGGAGAATATATGTCCAGCGAGAAGTAGGCTCGCAATAGAATGCAGTATACTCGGTGGACACGATCGACGCGGCCACCAGCAAAGAAATTCCCGTGTAATCAACACAGGCGAACCGTTCCATAAGAGATTGAGAGGCAATGCTGTTCATGGTGTGCCAAATGGTGCTGCAGACCAGACACTTGCATGCAGCAAAGAAGAACACGGCAGCGATCATGATGTCAGCCTTCGAGCTCAGGTGGAAATTAGTGTGGAGCGGGTAAAAGTAGAAGGCGATAGCGAGGACGAGGATCAACCCGATAAGATGAGACCAAATGTTGACAAATTCGTTGGAGAACGAGAAGACCGAATGGATACACTCGACCTTGGAAGTGGTGAAACGGTAACCATTGAGGATGTGCGGGTTTACCCTCCAGGGGTCCGGCAGATCAGCATAGGTAATCAAGCGCTTCTCCTGGGCAAGACGAATCGCCTCGTCAATATTCTCCCGGAGAGCATCACGGGCTCGGCGAGCACGCTCCATTCCCTCGTCAACCACCTCTCGGGCGTGGACGAGCTTGGAGTCCATGGCCTTCCATCCATCATCTAGGGTGCCGTAAATACCACGGTCGTGGATGGCGTGTGCCCGAGACTCAAGTTCGGATAAGAAAGACTCCATCAGGCGCAGGCCAGCTTGCGCTTTCTGTTCAAGAGTCTCCTTGGTTGCCAGGGCCTCGTTGTAACCCTCTTCGAGCGTCTCCACGAGGATCTTGGCCCGTTTCTTGCCACTTCCCATCAGTTCACCGGAGGCGAGGGAGCACTGATCTCTCACCGTTTCCAGTGTGGCATAACCGAGTCGGAGACTGGAATCAATCTGATCCATGTGAGATTTGCGGTATTGTTCGATCCATGACATTCGGCGTTCGAGTTCGGCGAGGAAGAGTTCGACCTAGAGTACTGTTAGAGCGAGGCTTGACGGCCGGAGCAAGGCTTGAGAGTGAGGCTCACTCGAATGAAGACGGTGTCTGCATCCTGGTAATCACAGGAAAGCCTCCGCGGAGCGTGATAAGAGTGTCGACGTCTCCGGTCTCGTAAGAGTGCGGTGTCCTCGCCGGGAGTTGCGGCGGAGGAGGAGAAGCCCTCCGCATGGGACTCCATGGTCACTGAGGATGCAGAGCAGGCCATAGTTGAACAGCGGAGGGTTGGCCGTGCAATGGCAGGCTAGTTACAACCACAGTTCCGTATATTGTTGTGTTCCAAAACCGGCGGGTCGGGCAAGTCCGGGGGGGTTGGGTGTTGAGTGTTGAGGATGCGGGAATTGATAGACCGAGGCGAGTGGAGAAAAGTCAAGCACCACCGGGAAGACGAGTCTGTTGAAACCAGGAAGAACAGACTACTATATACAGAATATCGAGGGAGGGGGGAGAGGAAAGTGGGGGGGTTCTTGGAAAGCAAGAGGATTTAAGGGCGCAAAAGGCCTGAAGCAGGACGGGCTAAAGTCTTGTCAGGCGTGCCCCCAACCATCGGCCGCCCAGCATTCACATGGACCGAACGGACTGCGGGAGCCGCACCTGATTGATCCGTCCGCATCTTTCGAGTCTCCACTTCGGCTCCAAACCTTCGATCTTCACCCTCCCATTCAACCTGATTCTTTCCTTTCGCCACCTGCGTATCTGAAGTCATGGCTATCGGTGAAATCGTCTCTGACGAGTCGCTGCTACCCGTGCTCGGCACTAGTGCAGAGACCTTGGCTCAATGCCAGCAGCTGATCGCATTGTTGAATCCCGACAACAGCCCGACCGATCCCTCGGGTCTCAAAGAACTGTCCTTGGCCGTATCCAAGCAGCAGAAGATTCTCTTCGCTCGACTCGCTCAACTCCGCGGCCAGAATCGAGATGCCATCATTCGTGTCCGTGACACAAAACATGCCACCGCCGAGGCTCGCCAGGAGATCGACCGACTACATCTACAACTGCAGAACTTGTACTACGAGCAGAAGCACCTTACCGGCGAGATCGCCGCCTGCGAGTCTTATGAGTGAGTGGAATCTTGAAGTACCTTGCATGACAAACCCCTGGACCTCGCTAATTCGAGACTTTTCTTTTGTGACAGCCACAAATATCTTTCACTGCCTCTAATTCCCGTGGATGAATTCTTGGAACTGTTTCCCGAGCATCGCGAATCGAATGAACACGACCTCATGATCGCGCGTATCAACCACGAACATGCCGAACGAGAGAAGCTCGAGCAGGCTCGTCAGGAGCTCTTGAAGCGCAAGCAAGCGTTGATCGCAGAAAATAAGAAACGCAAGGATGATTTGGCCAATCTAGATCAGGATCTAGAGAAGTTCGTCGATGTGCGTGCCTGTCCCCTTGCTTGTCTACCCGTTGACCACCACGAATTTACACTAATCGATTCCTGCGACTTTAGGCAGCCAAACCAATTCAAAAGATCTTCGAAAAGGAGTACTAAGGAGAGGACTGTGCTTGGGCATGCTACCAGATCAAAAGGCTTCTGCGCCTTTTGGGTGACTACATTGGGTTGGCGTTATATCGGACAAAATAGATACCCTACTGGATTTAATGATAAGATTTGCATATATTCATCTTAAATGTTCCTGAAAATCCTGGCCTTTCGAGATTGAGGTACTTTCCAAGCTGAGTAGGAGACCGCAGAGAGTGTCTGATTGCGTGGAATCGTAAGATCAAGAGTGCAAATGTTCCAGAAATGATAATTGTCTTTCATTGTCTGGTATCCGAGTATTTCAAGTGATCCAGAAATCTACATCATTGCCCGTTCATGCCATTAATCAAGATAGCATTGGGCCGTATACTTCACAATGCGGAGTCTCGGCGGTGCCACCTGTCCCCCTTCTCCGCCTTTAGCCTCCCCGACTCCGCGCGAGCAACTCGAGTAAACACCCTGGGCTCTGGCGGTGCGTCTCCAGGGTACAAAGCATGTCCCAATCATGACGAGCAAAAATGGAGACCACAAGTCTCCTCAAATATCAGCGACATTGAAAGCTGACTCTCAACCCAGCGCTCAGCGCGTCCCGCCCCCCGAGACTTCGGAAGCTATCCAAACACGATTCCGAGTCATTGCTGCCTTTTGGGCAGTGATTGTCTTTCTGGGATTCCCAATATGGTGGAAAACTACTTCCATTTACCGGGCACATCTGCCCATTCGGGATATGGCTGATTGGGCCGATGGCAAGGTAGGTCTTTGCTTGCGGAAGGAGAACTCAATCCGCCCTATCGTGAGCATCATGCCTGACTCTGATCGCTATAGACATGTCGCCCGGTTTTCCCGCTTGAAATTCACGTCGCAGCGCCGACTATGCAACTGCCGGAGTCGCAACATCTCGTGCGGACGACTCAGCATGCTCTCGATGATCTCAATGAATTCGCCGCCCACCACCTTCGTCTTAAGTTGACCAACGACACCGAGGCTTCCACAGCGCAAGGGATTGATAACACGCCCATTACCGGAAGCATCGTGGACAATGTCCCGGACACTGCATTGACCGTTCGTGTGGTGGCCCAGGAGGATCTGGCTACCCCTAGGTCCGAACTACGCGCCGACACAACCCAGCTCGACATCTTCTACCCACCGAGTCAGGTGCCCATTCCTTCATCTTCAAACCCACCGCTCTCGGTCTTCATCGCAGAGGAGCTGCAGCGCTTGTACAGCGAGGAAAAGGCGACAATTGCTCACATTCTTTCCAGCAGCACGGCCGGTCGTGACTCGGATAGCATCAGCCGGCGATTACGCCGGTCAATGAAGTACGCTGATACATACCATCTCTCATTCTCCTTGTTCACGCCCGGCTCTGCTCCATCCTCCTGGGATATACAAGCCGCGGTACAGGAGTACCTGTCTCCTCTCCTCCACGCATTCGGTCCCATAAGCAACTTCACCATCGACACCCAGGTCCAGCTTTATGCAACTTTTTCGCCCATGGCACCGCCCCCGGTATATGATGAGACTCAATCCGCATGGACCTTGAAGAAGGAAGATCTCAGCGCCTTTATCAATGCCGCTGAGTGGCCACTCAACCCCAGTATTGGCAACGGCCCTACTCTCAACTTCATTCTTTATGTCCCGGATCCCTCCCAATCCCCCATGGTGGTCAAGGAAAATCGTGCATCCAGTTGGATTGTCCCGCAATGGGGCGGAGTTTTCCTTCTCAATCCCCCTCTTGAACAAGCGGGCAAGAGCGGGAGCCAAACGAACCCAGCCCACATCACGCAAGAGTCGTTGCGCCCCGCATTCATGACCTTTTCCCATCAGCTATTGACTCTCCTTGGCACTCCTACTACCCCTGCATCTCTCCCGCTGCGCCTTCAGTCACTTATTCGTGTTCGGGCTGCAACTCTTCTCCTATCTGCTTCATCTACCATGGGTTCTCTGGCTCGTCTCACCGAATCTTTGGCCTCTATCCCCATCCCGGCTACCGTTGCATCTTCTGTCTCCACGACACTTGCCCAACTCTCGGCTACTTGCTCTCATCTCCGCGAAGGCCGCTTCGGTGCTGCTCTCGCCAGTGCTCGGATCGCAGAGACCGAAGCGGAGCGCAGCTTCTTCGAGAAGAGTATGGTTGGCCAGGTCTACTTCCCAGATGAGCACAAGGTTGCCGTCTATCTACCTCTATTGGGTCCTATCGGCGTCCCCTTACTGGTTAGCCTGATGAAGGAATTGAAGCGCCTCGTAGCAGGGTGGAAAGCACAAAGGCGTTCCACAGCATAAACAAGTCCATGCCAGTTTTTCTTTGTATTCTAGGAATTATTCCATATAAACATTTTGACAATTGATAATCATTTTGCATTCTGAAGTCTTCTACTCGCCATACATTTCTCCACTGTGAACCTTCCCTTATTAATTCATCCACCGGATGCGTATCGCAAAGTCAGATTCAGGTATCTTAAATCAATGAGATGATAGCAACCCAAAATAATGCAAGTATACGCCAGACAAATGCTTGAAGAAAGCGGGCACACACAACGCTGGTAGTTTAGAAATAAAGAAAACGATCACCGAGATGACGACGCAATCACAGCTTCAACTCCTTCCCCTGCAACTCGCCAAGTTTGTATGAGGGATTCCCCTTCGAATCATTAAACCCAACCGCCTGCACCAAGTCCGTAAACGTGGTATCCGGCCTCGAGATACTCCCCGGATACGGCTCGGGCCCCAAAAACTTCTTCGACTGAGAGAACGCGCCTGGCGGCGAGTACACCTTGATACTCTCGGTACTAGGCTGACGCTGGCGCGGTGGCGTAACGGGACATTGAATCTGTACCTCCGGCACGGGAGGAACATCCTTGTCCGTTCTTTGTTGACCGGAGAAAAGACTCCTCACTCTTGACCCGGTGCGGGATAGCATTGATCGTCCACCCGTTGAGGAGCGCCGCTCTGCTGAGGAACGGAGGAGGAAGTCTGTTCGGTAGGAGTTGTCTTCGCTGGCGATGGGGCCGGAGATTCCCATTACTGCACCGGAGGAGGACCGTTGGGACCAGTGCTGTCCTGTCTTGGGATCATTGTGTAGGTCTTTCTTTTGAGCTCGGCGGCGAAGGCAAATTGTTATTAAGATGGCGAGGATGGCGCCGAAGATTGCGCCGGGGAAGAATCCTGCTAGTACGGCTTGGGTAGGGAATGAGGGACATGTTGAGGCGAGGGTCGAGCTGGACTTGGCCTCGGAGGAGGAAGAAGGTGAGGCTACTGGTGTGAATGTAGCGCCAGTTGTATCTGCGGTGGTAGATGTTGAGGTTGAGGATGAGTTTGAAGAGGTTACTGTACTTGAAGTCTTCGTGTTCAAGGCACAGGTGCTGTTCCCTTGGCAGGTATACCCGAAGGGGCAGCAGGCGCTTCCGCATGTAGGAAGGGAAGAATCGAGCTTGGTGGTCTTTACTGAGTTCTTTGGGTGTGCAGTTGCATTTTGCTCTTGTACGTCGCAGACAATGGGCGAGATGTAGTCACAGCTGGCTCCGGATGGACAGCATATGGCGGAGCTGGCGTTGTCGAGGCTGATGCAGGTTGAAGTGGAAGGACAGCAGAACTCGTCTGGTAGACTACTACCACAGGAGTCGTAAGAGCTAGGACAAGATCCTGATCTTCGGGAAAGCAGGCCGGGATGATCAAATGCAAAGGCATGGCTTGATTGAATGTTGGCAATGAAGCTCAAGACCAAGAGGGCGGCGGACCGTTTGGTGATGACGCCTACGGACGATCTCGCCATATCGGCGATTTTGGACGTAGTAGTCAATATCCCTGAAGTGATTGAATGGTCTCGGGGAGTTCAAGTGTCGCAGGAGTTGTAGAAAGGAAGATATCGTAGCCAAAGCCGAATCGAAGCAGAGAGGGATTATGGAGATGGAGAGAGGGAGAAACCAGACGAAAGAATAAGAGGGAAATGCCAATAGGCAGACATGGCTAGTAATAGTCTGAAGCATATAGGAGTTAATATTGGGCAGTCAGGCAATAATGAAGGACGGCAATCAAAGGCATTCATTCAGGAAGACTCCTTTGTATGCTTCTATTCATGGCACGCGCCCGGGGTCCCAATAAGGGACCACCGGCGAGTTTCAGCATGAGTTGCATGGTCTAAATATGCAATATAGCGGGCGCTAAGCCGGATTTCCCTTTGCAGAACCAGCCAACCTGGCCGGGATCACAGGGTCAGAGAAGCAGGTCGACCGAAGATGGGCGCTTAGAGAAAATGAGAGCGTTGAAAGTCGAAGTACTTGGAGAGGCGCTGATTGGTCGTGTTATGTCAGCAGTGCTATCCCCGATTGGGAAATGCGTCGGGAGTGGAAATTCTTCGATTTCACGAAGCTCCAATCCACGCCAAGTCACTTCCGAACGCCCATATCATGTTCAGCCGACTCGTTAGGCCGGGCGCTCTGCGCGCGGCGTCATTCCAGGTATGCCCAATCTGGTTTCTGAGATTCCCGTCCTCCATTGCCTGCTCCGCAGAGACTGATCGTGTTGTCTTCGATCCCAGACACCTACCTCCGCCCTGCGCTCCCAGACCCGTGCCTTGCACCGCATCCCCCAATTGCAGCATGACGCCTATTACAAGGAGAATGGTGTTCCGGAGTTTATGTCTCCGGAGGCCTTTGACTTCTCCTGGACCCAGTATCAGACTCTCCTCGTGGACAAGCTCAACCTGTTGACGCAAGGTCAGACCCGACTCGCCCGGCCGAATCGTCTTTGGTTCCGCAGAGACGACATTTGGCCATTAAATAGAATTGAGAGCTGAATACTGACTGTTGCCTCACAGACACCGTCGATGCAGACGCTAAGCCTGGAGAATTGCTGGTCAAGTACTCCAAGCGCCCGGAGATGGCTTCGGTCTTCAACTATGCCTCCATGGCTCACAACAACCACTTCTTCTTCAACTGCCTGGTCAGTGTCTGTCTTGATATGAGGATATCTATCTTCTGCCATACTAATAATCTCCACCTTTTAGTCTCCCACTACTACCAAGATCCCCGAAAAATTCGCCAAGGATATCGTCGATACCTGCTCTTCCGTCGAATCCCTGAAGATGGACTTCCTCGCCACCGCCAACGCCATGTTCGGCCCCGGTTTCGTCTGGCTCGCCAAGAACCTCGAGCGCGAGGGCCTGATGCAAATCTTCTGCACGTACAACGCCGGTTCCCCCTACCCGGCCGCCCACTCCCGTCGCCAGCCCGTCGACATGGCCACGCACTCGCCCGACGCACCCCTCGGCAACCAATTCGCCGGCTCCATGGGTGCTCACGCCCAGAACCAGAAGAGCCTTGCCCCCGGCGCCATTGACGTGCAGCCCATTCTCTGTGTCAACACCTGGGAGCACGCGTGGATGATGGACTACGGTATTGCCGGAAAAGAGGAGTACCTGGAGCGGTGGTGGGATCGGATTAACTGGGACGTTGTGTTTGACAACTACAATGCTATTAGCTCCGTGAAGGGCGCGCGGAGCACGGCTAACAGGGACCGGAGTCTGAGCATGCTTTAAGCGGGAAAAGCATTTGATTTTTGTTTGGATAATCTGTACTATATATACTATCACATTTTCTTTTCTTTTTGGACTCTCGACTCTCCCGGTCTTGGAGGCTGTACAGCAGATACCGTTCGACATAGAATTGAACTCCACAATCATGATCCGTGTTCGTCTATAGTAGGAGATAGTCTCTATAATATTGTACATGTGCCCTTGTATCAGCCATCCAAACACGAATTATGTACAAAATCTGTACCCTCGAGGCAACCAAGTCTATACTGGCCCAATGTTCTATTGTCCCTGGGTATGACTCTCCCGAATTCGCTTCTCAAAAGCCTCAATCATAACACTAGCCATCTGCCCCTCCACAGCCCCCATAACAGTCGCATGCAACTGATTGCGGAACTCGAATTGCACCTCCAAATTCACCTTGGTCTGCGGTCCACCCTGCGCCTCAAGAGGAGCCACGGGCACAAGTTCCCACTTCGTACAGAGATACTCAAATATCCCCTCCGAAGCACCGGGGAAGAACCCACTCAACCCAGACGACGCGCCATCACCACCACCGCTGCTGCTGCCATCAGGCTTCCCATATTTGGCCCCGCTCCGCGCCTCAACGATCCAGTTAGCCGGATCACAGTCCACGCGCGAAGTAAAAGTCTCGCTGAGAGGCCCGTAGCCAACGGTCAGGTAGGCTTGAGTGGGATACCCGGTTTCCGGATCGCGGGCTGTCACGGTGGATTCGTTGAGGAAGGGGAGGAATTGCGAATAGGATTCGACGGAGGAGATCACTTTGAAGAGGAGGGCGGGTGAGTAGGGGAGTGTGCGGGTTGCTGTGAGGACGCGCTTGGGCGAGTTGTTGTTGCCGTTTGGTGAGGAGGGGAGGAAGGAGGAGAGAGACGGGAGGCCGAAGGATCGTTTTGTCGTGTGCAGAGGGCTTGATATCTTTGATTGTATACAGGTGTTTGGTCGTGGTCTTGTGCTAAGGCTTCGGGGTGTGGACTGGCCAAGCAGTAATGAGCGTGAGGGCAGAGCTTGCAGCCGGGTTGAGGAGAGGAGGGTGCGACATGATAGTCGCGAGTGGCAGGCTGGTCGCATAATTGAGGTGAAAGGGCGGGAGCAGGAACGAGTGTGTTGTGGTTGGAGTTCGAGGTAAAAGAGAGTAGGTCTGCGAAAAAAGGTCCGCAGTCGCAGTCCGCGGTGATCGGCCCGGCCGAGGCCCCATTGGATCTCGTCCCTCAGGACGGACTATATCAGGCACATCAAAAGTTTAATAACCCAGTGCAAATGAACTAAGGTTTGCAAAATAGACGTGTTTTGAAGAATTAGATGCTTAACCCATTCATCATGGTTCCAGAAAGTTCATCTCTCTAAACATTATATATCTCTCAATCAAGCACCGGATTTAGCTATTTGTATGCGTCGAGTATTCCGCCTGAGGAAATGCCATGAAATCCATATCAGATGGCGATCCCTGAACTCCAAGGAACCAGGAGTTATCCTGGTTGTTTGCTGCTGCAGCATATCCAGATACCCGACTGTCGTAAAGGCGCTATATAACCCAGAGTCAGTTCTATCCATAGCACCAGTGGTCTACAAGTGGAATTGACGTCTTACCCAGTCAATTTGAGCTGGCGTGCTCAGCATATCTCCGATCACTTCGAGGGATGAGTATGAGGGTGTCGAGTCGGTATTGTACATTGCAGCTTCCATGTCATCGGCGCTGGCCGTGGTATGCATCAGGTATTGCTCCTGATCCATCGTGGTCGAGGCTAATTGGAATGTCACTTGATCTGCACTCGCCATCAGCCTCGTTATGATCCGATCTGATTGGTAAATCTTACCTTCCATGGGGATCTCCTGCTCTTCGGTCTTCGCTACCAAACTATCAATCGTCGTGCCATGTACCTGGCTAAGCATGATGGTCAAAGCGGCAAATGCTCGCTGCGTATCCACAGATCGACGTCGTGCTTCCTTGAATATTCGGTGCGTAGTCTCCAGAAGGGAGATCAGATCCGTGCGTTCTTGTGCTCCCAAGCGAGAAGCACCGCCCCGTTCATTATCTTGAGACAACTCCAAGCAAAGGATCATGGCGGAAAGTATACAGTCGGTATTTTGGAAAGAGTTGACAAAGAACCGCTCCGCATACAGCTGACCTCCAGGCAAAGACTCATTCCAAATATCAGAATGATGGCGTAGTGTCTCCCGAGCGGCAGCAAGGCAGACCGATCGCGAATAGGCATATTTGTTTCCTGGCTCGGCCATATAACGTCGGTGCAACACCACGCGAGATTTCTGGTAGAGCAGTTCCAATGAGTATCGTCGCATGATGAGACTGGTTGGTAACGCGATACATTGGGCGATGGGCTGGATGCGAAACGTGGTGGGTAGCAAGTTGTGTGCTTCCTCTAGGCGACGGTCAATCGCAAGGATCTCGTCATAAGGCGCTGTTTCCCGTGAATAGGCCAAGTCTACCGCCTGGCCAAAGACTGTCATGATGCGTGATTTGGCTCTGGAGTATGTGCAGGCTGTTACCTCCCCTTCATCACTTCGCCCTTGTGGTAACTGGACTGTATTCTCGTCAAACTCCGTGTCGTGCAGATTGGAGGGTAATTCCGTGTCGAACTGCCAAGGTTGGATGGTCCGCGGCAGTCCGACTTGGAAGGATATCAGAATATCAAGCTGACACAGTAAGGCCCATAGACGACGACGCATCTCACCGTCTAATGCAGAGAGAGTAGGATAATGCCTCGCATCACGATGGTAGCCCATGCGCATAGCAAGGCGAATGGTCATGGTGAGGAGGTACGAAACCCCGACCTGAGCATCCTGACTCCGGTAGAATTCACATATTGCGTGCATGAATAATGCTTCGCACTTGTACCGACCCGGTGTAAGATAGTTTGCTTGCACGAGACACTGTGCCGCTCGTTTGCGGAAGATGTCCCAAGCAATCGTCGGGTCCAGCATTTCAGAAGGCAGTGCTTGCTCGCATCGGCGATACCACGATACCGATAAGGCCAAGATATCGTAAAGAAGAGCAATCCAAGTAAATGACATGCTGTACGGGTTATTCCAAAATCGATCGTACTCTCTTTGGAAAGTGGGGATGTGGAGGGAGACTGATTCGAATGTTAGCATACCGTCACTCGAAGAGCTTTACATAACCTACCCAGTGCTGGCTCGGTCGTCTTGAGGAATCGGGACACCAAACGATCGGCCACTGGTCGTGGGGGAATATCGACGAGTACTTCCTCCTTGGTGACGGGCCTGGACATTCCCAACAGCAAAGCTGGAGATGGACCCTCGCCAAGTACATCTTCAAACCCTTCCTCGTCAGAGTCCTCATGCTCGGCGATATACTCTTTCACGCCGTTGATCTAGACAATTGGATCAAGATCAGCCTCAATAACTGGGTATACGATAGACCAATGTGACCAGTACTGACCTCTTCCAGAACCGCACGCCAGTCAGCACTGTCAATGTAACTAATTCCTTCATCTTTTACTACCAGTGTGCCCGTATCAGTAGGAGACGACTTCGTCTCGCGATCGCCCACTGAAGGCGGCGTGACATATGAAGTTGCATCAGACGAGCTCGTATTGAAGTCAATCACGGACTCGCTGGGCCCTTTTTTCTGAGACAAAGACAAGACCAGATTCTCCAAATGCTGAAGACGATCCTGCACTAGGGTTGGGCTCGAGCGCCCATGCTGGGCTTTGCCTCGAGGACCACGGCCGACGTATGTACACGTGCCAGCCTCCCCCCGCTTCTTGCAGTTGGTGCAAGGGTATGAGCGATCGCATTTTAATCTGATGGTAGTTAATTCCCTGGCTTTGCGATGCAGAACAGAACGGGAGCTGGCTATTCATGCCAAGCAATCAAATTGATGATATGAAAATCCCAACGTACTTTCGAAATCTGCACGCCGTGCACGAGAACTGGACCCTCGTTCTCTTCTTGGGTGCCAGAGTTGAGGGATCCGCGCCAAGCGGGTCCAGCGAATTGCCAGGAAGGTCGGACATGAGCGGGTAAATAGTGTGAGCGTACACCTATGAAAACCGAGATGGGGCAGAACGATAGTTGCGCATTCAGGGCCACCTCGATCCGGTGGGGGGTGCTTCAAGAAATCCGATGGGCGAGGAGGTCACAGAAAGTGGAGGGATTAAGGTGGCAGGTCGGACTCCGCTTTCTTTAACTCCGGCCTGTCCAGGTGGGGGCCGTTCCTTTGATGGAGCAAGTGTGCTCGATGGAGTGGAAGCAGCGCCCCCAGTAGGTAGTACTAATAATGAATGAAAAATAATAGAGCTAGGATCTATGGTGGAATTGATCGTTGTTGCTATTACTAGGCGTGGGGGATTCCTAGCACCTTACATGCAGAAGAGGAAAATGGAGGTCACGATTTCAATCGAGGTTGAGCTGGAATTCACACAATAGATATAGTAGACTAGGTTCGTGATTCAAGGACAGTGGGGGTATCTGGGGGTTGAGGCAGTAGGTGAATCATACAGCGCTTCTTAAAGCAGTCGGTCGAAGGAAAGGCAGACGGGACAAATGAGTCCCACAAAACTAGCAACGAAGGCTCATCTGTTTACAGGCGAACCTGGCCACCGTTCAAACGATCCCAGTCCTTCTGCGCAAAGGGAACATACGTATCACCCTGGAGCCAGTACAGGCGGTCGTTCTGGGAGACCTGCGACACATCAACTCCCTCCGCGCGCAGTACATGCTTCTGCTGCTTATTGTTTCCAGTGGACGCCATCTCGGGCATCACGCGGATGAAGAGAGGCGCAGCGAATCTAGGCAAATTCTTCAAGATATGAACCGCCAAGCTATGAAGCGTGGCAGAGGAGGGCTCCAAAGCTGGGCCTGATGTATTTCCGCTGGCGATCTGCTCGTTGAATACGATAGCAGCACACCCAGCACGACCGTCGTGGTTTGGGAGGGCGACGCCGTAAACGTTGGCTTCATGCACGTCCGGATGGGCGCCAAGTACCTCGGCAACCTCATTGGTAGACACGTTCTCGCTCTTCCAGCGGTAAGTATCGCCTAGGCGATCAGAGAAGAACCAGCGGCCATCCTTGTCCCATCGCACCATATCACCAGTTCGGAAGTAGGCGTCACCCTTCTTCAGCACATCACGCACGATTTTGCCCTCGGTTGCCTTGGAATTCTGGAAATAACCCTGGAAAGTAGCGCTGGGATCTGCGGGATCGATAGCAAAGAGAAGCTCGCCAGGGTCACCACGAGGGACCTTCTTGCACAACCCGGTTTTAGGATCGCGCCACGGCTCTTGAGTCTCGTGGTCCACATCCACGATGGTCGTGCCACGACCGAGAATGATGTTTCCAAGAGCACCATTGCGACCGATGGCGCCGGCGGAGAAGTCATTCGACGATATATTCCATTGACCAGAGGTGCCCTCGGTAGCAGCGTAGAATTCGGCAATCGTGGGGATGTTGAAGCGGTCCTTGAAGCGGTTCCAGATATCCGGACGCAGACCGTTGCCAAAGGCGAGCCGAATATTATGCTTCTTGTCCAAGTCCTCGCCCGTAAGGGCATCGATCTCGGGAGGCACACCCAAGATGTAACGCAGTGTTTCGCCCACATACTGGATAACGGTTGCATTGGTTTCGCGGGCCTCCTTCATGAAGTTGCGAGCAGAAAATTTGCGTCCGATAATGATCGTTGACCCGTTCATCAAGCATGTCACGAAGCCCAAAACGGCAGCAGAAGAGTGATATAATGGCATGCAAGTGAAGAAGCGATCCGAAGGGCCGATGCGCATCCAGTCACCGACAAATAAGCTACCAGACCAGCACTTCTTCCAGCTGACTATAGCAGGTTTGGGCAGACCCGTAGTGCCACTGGTGTAGATCAAGATTGCCATATCCCGTGGTATCAAGCCACCACGAACCTTGTCATCTTCACGAGAAGGCTCCATATCCAAAATCTGAGACTCGACATCGGCAGTGAAGAAGACCACCTTCACCGGACCCTTTCCATCGCGGAAAGTTGGCGACGCAAAGGTCTCCAATTGTTCCGGAGGGAAACAGTTGCGGACTTCCTCGTCCACGACCAGGAGTTTCGCGGTAGAGGTCCGCACAGAGTGGGTAAGTGGCTTGCCAGCCAAGTTATAGTTGATGAAAGCGGGGACCGCTCCAATGCTCCAGAGGCCAAGCACCATGAACAGGAAGGTCGAGGAATTCATAAAGTCCATGGCTACAATTTCCTTGCGACGAACTCCCTGGACCTTCTTGAACCAGGCACCATAGCGAAGGGCCATAAGATATGTTTCGTGGAATGTCCACGCCTTGCCATCGTAAACAATGAATTCCTGGTCGGCGGTCGCGGGAGAAAGTGCAGCGTTCTCGAGGGCATAGAAGAGGTTCAGTTTGTCACCTCGTTCGGCATAACGTGACTTAACAGTCATTTTTAGGAGAGACTTGATCAGGCCGAGATCGTAGGAAAGGGACCATCGTGCGTTGAGGTATGCCGCCGTGGCCGCGGCGGCCGGGAGAGCATAGCGTAGGGGAATGTCTTCATTACGAGGCAAGCTATTAGTACAGCTCACTCAACTCGCATAGATCCTGAATGCCTTACCTGGCCAAGAAGACAGCGGCATCTTGTATGTCGACGACAGAAATCAAGGATATTGCTGGAGAGGGCAATTGACTCCAAGGACGCAATCGTACAACCAGTCTTATCGTGCTTGAACGGGATCGGGCCGGATTAGCTACGTCAACGCCGACAGCTGTAGCCCAATGTATATGTAAACGGTGGAGGAGAAGGCTTTCATTCAAAGAAGCTAGTATAAGAGCTTGGGGCTGGAGCAATAAATGGTGAAAGGGGGGGGAAGAGCCAGGATTGCGTAGATGCGAAGGGTACAAAGTTGCCTCGGCACGACGCTGGTCGCAGTCCGGTTTAAGCGTCAAATGCTTTCGGCGCGGTCGCCGCACCGCGTCACCACCTATCACCCCACCCACTCTTTAGCTCCTCCCGTAGTCTATCCGTCGATATTCAATATCTGAAGTGTATGGATAAGTGTATGCTAGCTAATTAATTGCTCGATTATGATCGTATTCGGCCTCATGTTGCATTCCACAGCCTCGACATTCCAACCTGCGGCATCTCGGAGCAAATCCAATATTGCATCACCTTCACATGGGACACCGGCTCGGCTTATCTTTGATTTATTGCCCGTCAGAATTGAGCTGCGCGCATGAGAGACTTAGCCTTTTGGCCCCACGTGGTTAGGCTCGCGAGGTGCGTCCGCGGGATCCGCGTAAGCCTAGCCAACGGCGATCGCCCCCAATGAGGCATCGAGTTTAATAGCCAGCTCCCTGTTCTCCAGATTCCACCCCGGATGAGCGCCTCGGAGTGGGGTTCCAATAGTATTGTGCAAGAAAGAATAGTTTAACGATGTTATTTCACCAGCCTCAACAATTCTATCGACACTCTAGCCATGGATCAGCATGATTTCGGTGCTACCCAGCCTAATTACAGCTCTAAATACTGGCCAGCGTTCTAGTTCAGGCAAGAAGTAGATTTAGCTTCTTAAACAATCTAAATCGTTCGGTTTTGTTGAATATGCATCTTATCTGCGTCTATTGGGGTGCCTTGGCCTTCTTCAATACAGGGACTTCCTCATAATCATCTTCCATGAATTCCCGGAGTGCCTCGAGACCGTTCTCCAATACCTCGGTCTCGCAGGCATATCCAACACGAACATATCCCTGGAAATCCTCGCCCCCTCCGAAACAAAGGCTACCCGGTACAAACATCACGCCCTTCCTCTCCTGAAGCATCTCACAGAAGACAACATCATTCACTGGCTTGCCCATCTTATTAAAACGAACAAATGCCGTGGTACCCGCGCGGGGCTTAATCCATTCGCACGCCCAGCGATGAGACTCGATGAACTTCTCCAGAATGGCAAGATTCGTCCGCGCCAACTCAATATTGCGCTTCAAGAGGCTATGAATACACTCCGGAGCAAGCGCAAAGCTAGCGATTGCATCATCAATCTGACCGACGGAGATAGTAGTGTAATCGCGCGAGTTGGCGCAAGCTTCGATGATGGTTTTACTGCGGGACGCAATCCAACCAACTCGAAGACCGGCTAAACTGTATGCTTTAGAAACCGATCCAGTCACCACGCTGTGTTCGTAACCGAAGGAGAGAAGAGATGGGGGAAATTGGGAGTCCATGGGGCTGATGTTGTGGAAAAGGGGACGGTAAACCTCGTCGGCGAAGAGGGTAATCGAGGACTCGCGAGCAATCTCAACGAGACTCTGGAGCGTGTCGCGGGGTATAATGGCACCCGTCGGGTTCTGGGGGTTGCTATTGTCAACGAATCAATGGTTAGTGTTCCAATAGTCCCCAGCCGTTCAATTGGGGACTCCAACGTACTTGATGATGATCAACTTCGTGTTCGGGCGAATTAGACTCTTTAGCTCCTCGATATCCAGTTGCCAGTCATTCGTCTCCTTGGACTTCCACAAGCTGACCTCCGCCCCCAGAGATGCAGGAACCGAGTAAAGCTGCTGGTATGTAGGATAGTGGCAGATAACATGGTCACCAGGCCCCACGAGAGTATACAGCAACAAGAAATTGGCCTGAATGGCACCCCCGGTGATCAAGATGTTGTCTTTTGGAACCAGACCCGGAGTCTTCACCGAGTAGAGGTTGCTAAGTGTCCCCCTCAGCTTATCAGAGCCTCGAATAGCCCCATATGTGAGCTTAGTCGACTGAAGCGCGGTCAGTGGATTAAAATCCTTGTCCTCGGAGAGCTCACGGAGGTCGTCAATGGAAATTGATGCGCAGCAGGTCTCAGCGGTATTGTATTTGGCAGTCGTCTCATACTTGTCCATCCACTATAGTCTTGTCAGCGACATTGTACAGCCTTGATTCATCACACGCAGCCCACAAAACGACTGCATCGTGCGCAAATGCGGGGAGATTACCTGCTCAACCGCGAACGTCTCTAGTTTCACCATTGCGTTGGATGAAGAGGTCAAAAATGAGACTAAAATTTTCTCAAGATGAAATGGAAATTTCCTCGACTCTTGCTAGACACCAATAGCAGAGACTGTTCAGTGCGCAAAGAGTCACCTCGCTGTTCCTCCGAGGCCCGCCAAATCTCCAAATCACGTGGTTTTCTGCCCCCGCACTGGAACTGTTGGGCTTTCCAGCAAAAGAAATGAGCTACAGTACTTAGCTTGATTGGGAATGTGCACTGCTCTTTTTTGCTCAATCAGGATGCCGTTCAATCTAGAATTCAGAGAGATACCCTTACCACTATTTTAATGTCTGCCCTCACAATCTACCCTCCTCGCGGTTGACTGCACTGTCCAGACCCCCCCCCCCCCCCCCCCCCCCCCCCCCCCCCCCCCCCTCGAATATCCCAGAATCCACTGACAATGCCGTGGAGAAGTACACGAAATCGCTATATCGACGGCTCTCAAAGCTACATTCTGACAAACGTGCAAGGCGATGCTCTAGAATGGCCTTGACCTCAAGCAAGTACACAAGGACCGATATTCAAACATCTTCATTGATAGGAGAATAAAAATAGGCATCACGCGTTGATTTGTAGAGAACATTGGAAAATGGATCGAGAACCTGAAGAAAACGGTGGGTTTTTATGACATTCTTCGACTGTATTGGATTCTTTCTGACGAACACTGGGCGTTCTGCTACAATATTCCGTCCAGCAGCAATTGATGTCCATCTGTTCTCCTTTGTATTGCCCCTTCTATGTTCAGAGACCAATCAAATGAGCTCCTACCAAACTCCCCATCAGATCATACCCAGCTGGTGTAAGATGCAAGCCATCATCAAATATCTCGTCTCGGAATGTCTGAGTCGCGGCACGATACGGAATTTGACTCTTCAGATCAAACGCGTAACTATCGAAAATTTAGAATCCCTCCGTCGTACTAAAAGGCCAGAAAAACTTACAATCGCTCTGCTTGATGAGCAAGGATAGCAGAGTTTAACTGGGCCCGTCTCTGGTCCAAGATTGCAGATTCAGCTGCGCACTCGGGGACTGTCAAGGCAAGTACTTTGCCGCCTGTAGCAAGAACGACATTCCAGGACTCTTGAAGGGCAGAATATATCTTGTCAGGGCCATTGCCATACCCAAGGTCACTTGTGCAAACAAGTCAGTGTGAGTAAATGTGCAGTGTACATAGTAATTAAGGTTGACCCACTTCGTCCCGCCAAGAACGATGACCCAGTCATATTTCTTCGTCGCACATCTCCCCTGAATCCGAGATAGAAATGACCCGGGAGGAGATGTGACCAAGTCTCCGGGAACTCCATCCACCTCGATCATGATATCGGTCGTTGGGAACGCGGCTTGAAGGCACTCATGCAGCTTCTTTGCATACGGGTGATACTCCAGCCCGTACTTGTACCAACCGGCAGTGAGGGAGTCGCCGAAACAAAGGATCGACGGCCTCTCAGTCATGTTGTCTATCCTCTCTCCCGCTTGCTTGGTTTCGAGGGTCTGCTTTTTGGGTCCGTGGGTGGTGTCTGATCGGGGTGTGTTTGTTTCTTTGTAGATGCCTTGTGGGCCCGTTCCCCGCGCGCCTTTCCTAATATGGCGACAACCAGGGTTATCTCGCGTATGCGGCTCTGGTTTACACATCATAGAATCGGGTTCTCGCTTCCAGCGACTTCGTCGCCGATTAGACCCTCGGCAAAATTGACACCCTCTGAAGCTTTTGTTACTTTAAGCCGCCTACTGTACTAGGATAAGTTAGGGGTCACGTCTACCCCTAAAACCCAAAGAAGGCATACTGATTTCATTTCATTTAAAAATCATTTTGAATAATGAGGTACAGGAAACCGTCCAGCAACCCGTCCAGGATACCGTCCAGCAAACCTTCAGGAAGCCCTCCAGTAAATCGTCCTACAAACCATCCAGTAAATTGTCCAGGAAACTGTTCTGTGGTTTGTGAGCACGGTAATGGAATATTAAGAGAGATTTGAGCTCGTATTAGTTTCACTAAAGAGGATACTAGTCAACAGCATCACGCAGAGGTCCAAGCTCGTCGCTATTATGGAGACGTCCACAAGAGGTCCCTCTTGCACTAGACACCCTGCCAACCAGACTCCTCAGCAAGATCACCGAGAACCCTCTCATCAAGAGAGAGACTATAGGGAGAAGCTGATCGGCTTCGAGATTGGGAAGATGAGTCTTTGTCGGACTCCGCATCATCCTCTTCATCCTCTCCTCCTTGCATGCGGGCGATGCGCTTCAAAATCCACAGCATTTCGAGCAGCTCCATTGAAGGCAATGGCAGCTTCTCTTTGTCGGTGGTTCTGATCGTGAAGACGTCCCCTGAACATATCACTCGATCGGTCTCGTGATTGAAGATCTTCAGATTGAGCCCTGGAGACTTCAAAAGCCCCTTTTCTGCACCAAGTCCAAAAGGATTTCGGTCGATAGGGATCATGTTTGTCTTCTTTCCACTTGGGAGGGGGAGCCAGTGGAAGGCAACATCCATGCTCATTCCATCATCGGCAACTCGGACAGGGCGGAACTCGCAAGAGCAGTCCTCCCAGTATACATAGAGCAGCCGGTTGAGCGCCATCAGGTTGGTAGCTTGCTCAGTATTGAAGTTGTCCGTCGCTCCAATAATCGCATGTTTCCAAGCTTCAGCTCCCGCACCCGAGAAGTCTCTTAATAATGCCCAAAGACCGGCTCCTGGGGTCTGGTGCAGGTGGAAGGGCACGATGTATGCTATCTTAAGGCCTGGTCTCTCATGCTTGGTCATGACACACTCCTCTCCATCACGCTCCGATGCCTAAATCCATTTAGTACATTTAATGAAGTAACGATCGATAATGAATCCTGATACCTTTTCCGCAATCTCAGGGTCCCGAGCTCCAGGAGTCTTGTCGGCCATCTCGTCCCTTCTCCCTTTTGCAACTGGGATAATTGTCAGAGCTTCCATGGCCAGGTAATATGATTTAAGCACTTACTTCTTCCGACTGGGTCAAAGGGTAGGTAAGGCTGGCTGGAGAGCCGGCACACGATCAGGCTCGGATTCCACCCATTCTCCCCGTGAGCAATCTGGCGAAGAACTGCCTTGTCGGAGAACCACAGGGTAAACAGGCATGCGCGTGAGATAAGTCGGAGCTCGTTGTGCCTGACAAGGATCATTCGGATGTACTCCTTACGATCCTCATCTTCGAACTCGGAAAAGATGTGCAGGTCATCACGGCTAACCAATGATGATGAAAATCGAGTCTGCCATGATTCACTCCGTCTTAAAGTTGAGTTGGGGGGAAGGGGAAGGGGAAAAGACGAGAAGGAGCGGAAATTGTTAGTTCATGAGATGCTACTAAGCCTAGTTTGGAAACCTCGACCTTCTTTCGAAAATACCAAAAAAGGAAGGCACCCCAAGTCCCTCTCACTTCTTCTTCCCTCTCCTTGTTTACCTCTTCTCTCTTTCTCACTCACTCCTGTTTCCTACAACCCACCTGTCTTTCACCAAAGTAAAGCCACACTGCAAACTTTAAGAAGTATCACCAAAACTCATCTTTTTAATCATTCCATCAACTAATACTTTATCAGCATGACAGGACACGTTGCTCACGACGGTCAAGCTGCTGGAGCGGCAGGGGGAGCGCCAGGTGGTGACGGTCGTCAACCCTGGAAGAAGCAGGACCGCTCTGAAGAGTCGAAGGCCCGTCGGAAGGAGAAGAACAGGGCCAAGCGAAAGGCAGACCGAAGGCTCGCGGCAGAGGTTCGGGCGCAGCGAGCACAGGAGCAGGCCCAAGACCAGCGCCAGGTGCAGCGCCAGGTACAGCCTCAATCCGGGCTCCAGGTGGTAGGTTTCAGTCCATAATCAGAAGTGCCTCTCTAACGAGAATATCTTCGCAGCTTACACAAGTACTTTCCACCGACGAACATGCCAGACATCTCCTTGGTATTGGCTTCGCGATGGGGATGGCAGCCACTCACGCTACCTCACTACCCCAGGTAAGTGATACTCAACCATTAAGCATGAGTTCCGATGATTGAATTATGCAATACTAGGCACCCCAACGAGGTCGAGCAGCAGCTCGGGGCCGAGACAACACTCGCGGTAGTCGGGGCCGATACTACCCTCGCGGTAACCGTCGTGGTAGTCGAGCCCGTGGCCAAGGGGACAACAGGATGCCCCAGGAGAGCGTTGGAGCCTCTGGCTCTACCCAACATGGTAATGCCATGGCTGACAACCAACCCCAAGGGCCATCACAAGCCGGTCCTTCCTAACAGCGGGCCTGATGTGACGACCTCTTAAGAGTGTAGGTCGTCTAGTGCCAAGAGGGACTTCTTGTTGGAGTCTCTAGTGCCAAGAGGGACTTCTTGTTGGATTCTCTACATAGTACCAAGAGGGACTTCTTGTTGGAGTCTCTAGTGCCAAGAGGGACTTCTTGTTGGAGTCTCTAGTGCCAAGAGGGACTTCTTGTTGGAGTCTCTACAACAGCGACGAGCTTGGACCTCTCCGTGGTGCTGTTGACTAGTAACCTCTTTGGTGAAGCCAACACGAGCTTAAATCTCTTTTAATTTCTGATACCTTACTCCTAAACCATAAATATGCAGCATAGTTCTCTTCCGTTATTTTGCTGAATAAATGTTCTTGCCCTTCACTGCTATTAAGCCGCCTGCACTAGACTATAGGGGGTTTCCTAGATAGTTTTCCAGATAGTTTCCTAGACAATATCCTAGACGGTTTCCTGGACGGCTTCCTGGACGGCTTCCTGGACGGTTTCCTGGACGGTTTCCTGGACAGTTTCAACATAGGGATCGAAAGTAGGAGGTATCTACCCGAGATAGCCGCTATCTCACCATAAGCAAAAACATAGCCTTTTCCAGCCTACGCATTTGTATAGAAGAGAGTAAGAAACTAAAGCACACTGGTTGTTTTGAGATTCGTGGGGATCGGCTTAGGTTCAGGGTCGACACGAGACTTTCGGCCCTGAATAACTAGTCCGCGGTACTGGACATGGTGTTTTCGGAGTATAGATCTCACGGTATCGTGAACGTGCCTCTGTCGCTCTGGGAAACGGTTTTGATCCTCCCATTCTTTGCTGAGTGGGCGGAATTCGTCTGGGAGTGAACAGAGATAGATAGGGTCCTCCCGCTCTGTGATCGGAGTAGAGGAACCCATCTCTATCCACCATGTAGTTCCCGCTAAAGGGAGAGGAACGCGATGACGAACTCGAGTAAAACCTCAGCGCGTGGGCGCTAGCCCGAGAGAAAGTAGAGTTGGCAGAGCTGGGAGAGGTCGACGAGGTAGACATATGAAGTATGTCTGTCAGGAGATTGGTCGGGTCTTCCCCATACAGAACTTATCAAGTGCTTATACTTTAGAGGTAAGTTAGGAAACACCGAAATCATACTAATAAATAGCTAAGAAATATTGGTATACATTTATGCACGCCATGTTGTATTCACTTTGTGTACAGCAAGTAAAGTGAACCACCAAGCAGATGTGACTCCAGGTGTGGATAACATGGCTTTGATCTCAAATCCAGTTAATGAGCCACGACATCAACAGAAAGAACCAGCGGGAAGTGATGAGATAGTATGATTTAATTGACTACTCTTGTGGATTTGGGCCATCGTTAATGCCTATTTTCTAATTAGTTTCCATAAGCTGTGAAAAATCAGGCAGAAAGATAGGCACACCAAGAAACGTCAGGCTGACTACAGGAACAGCCACTTGCAGTAGTCTTGCTAGAATCTTTGCAGTGCCCTTGGCCTTTCTCTTCATCGAGCTACCGAGCTCGTCTCTCTTCTCAATATCTCGTATGACCTTTTCCACCTTGTCCTTATCTTCAGGCTTGATTTTGATCTCATTGGCCCGAATCTTTGCGACCAGATCGTCGAAGCTCATATCCTGTACGTCAACATGAGTGCTGGGTGATTCACTCAAATTGGTCGTGCTGAGCTTTGCATTCTCTGGATCTGAAGGTCGAACTCGTTCTTTCGCCTCCGATCATCTGCCCGACGTTCCGCTCTCAACTGTTCTTGCTGACGATGAATCTTATCGAGGTCTCGATCAATTTTGCGTTGTGCGTCTTTGAGGTGATCTTGTAGTTCCTTGTCCTTTTCCTGAATAGCGAGATAGTATTCCTCCTTGATTTTCCGGAGTTCATCTTCGTGTCTCTGTTCGAGTCGATTCAGCTCTTCATTCACAGATTTGCCAGCTGCTGTTTCAACCAAACTTTTGTCCTGATCGACAAGCTCTAATTGAATCTCCAGCGGAATAGGCTTCATTGGCAAGACAAGCTCCAATATCTCTAAAGCCGAGTCGCGGTTGGTGAACCGCGTTACTTGGGAACCACGTTTGATCATATCCCCCCAAAACTCAGGTTTGGAGCGGAGTTCTGCCTCACGTTCATCGCCGAGCTTCCCACTGACTCTGTCCCAAAAGGTAGTAGCCAATATCACGTTCTTCAGAGGATCCCTTCCATGCGGGGGTTGTTGATATTGTGGAGATATATGACCCCATGTAGCTTTTCGTTCTGCTTATACGAGTCTTTGAGCCAATCTGCAATTCCTTGTAGGACCTCTGTCTCGGATTTGTAGGTGTCATTGAATCCGGGAGTATCAATCAGGTCGATATTATGTCCTTTATGATGGAATGTATACCCTCTCAACTCGCTTGTACCTATGATATTCTCTCTTGTCAGTGCTCTGCATGATGAGGAAGAGTAACACACGGAAGTCGCACTTACAAGATTCCAGACTGTGGCCGACTTCAACGTCAGTTGACCCGGTCGCCGTCCGGATAAAAGTGCTTTTTCCAGCCCCGGTAACGCCCATCACGGCAATAGTAGCCCAGGGCGCACCGGAGATTGTATAGAGGAGGGTTTCATTGGATGGTGACATAGTTCATGTATAAAAAAAAAGCCTTGAAGTCGGAATATTATAGCCGGGGGACACCTTGATTCATGTAAATTCAACTAGATTGCATGGTTATAAGATGGGCCCCGAGGATCACGCCGTATGAACTACATCCATTGGTGGAGGAGACATGAAAGAAACCTGCATACACAGCCCCGATTGCTTCGAGAGGCTGGCATCATGACCCGATCGATTTGAGGCTCTAAAGTGCGGGGAGATGGGTTCGTTTACGACATTCAAAAGCAAACATGCATCAGTTCTTCGCCCGGGTAAAAGTGCTTTGTCCATTTTAGGTTTAGCTGGACATCTATGGCACCGATCGTCATGGTCTGGATGTCTTGGTATAAGCCCTTGGCTTGAGAAGAAGAAGAAAACATTGAAGTGGCCATACCAATTGCTGGGCCCCCAAAGCGACACATCACCGTACATGATGCAAAGCCTCAGCCGCAAACTACCCCTCTTTCACCCCATCCACACCACGGCCGGTTTTAGAACGACCGCATGTTCGTATTCGGACCCGTCACTCTTTCCACGCACCAGAATCGCAGGTTGAACCACGATTCGAATAGGCTGACCATCCAATGCCGCACCATTGTCGGTCAAAGCGTTTGAATGAAGAGAGTGAGGTCTTAACAGGACATGACCAGAGTTAAAATGCGAGGGGAGCTCCTGAAGAGTCTGAATTTCAAGGGAACTTCTTCTCAGCCAGAGCTTATGGGACATGTGGACTGCGGTTCGAAAGATGCGTTCAAGTTCTCCGATGGCCTTTGCATCTTTGAGCGGGGTGCAAATGATATGAGCAGCAGAGCCCGTCATAAAATACTGAATGATGTCTTTCGTAGCCTCCTCTTGGGCTGTCTGAGATCGCCGTTTAGTGGTCTCCAGCTGAGGTGGCTCATCCTTATCGGTGCGTAATATGGGATCCAGGAGTCTCAGCAACTGGGATCTCCAGGCATGGCCGCCCTCTGGATTCCCTGTATGATACTCGGTGAGCAGTTTTCTCTTAGGCTTCGATTGATGCACATGTGGCTCACCTCGAAGGATCTCTCCCAAAATATCGTCCAGGGTGGATTGAAATTGAACTCCATGGGCTAATCCATCGTTCTTTTGGTCTTTACCTTCACCATAACATCCAGCTATTCTGTAGGGAACAAAGAAGAACGGCTTGTCAAAGATTTCCCGGTAAATATGATCCATGAGTAGGGCGTGCAAGATAAGAAATGGGGATCGCTCATTATTGAGGATCATTGGATCAGAACGCATCACATTTTCCCACCCAGTAGGCCACTCTCCAGGCTTTCCTGAAAGCTCGGGAAGTGAACGGGTACAGTTGTTCCTACACCACATCCGAGAATCTTTGAACAAAGTCTCAAGGTCTCCCGCAATCACTTCATGAGTATCAGTACTCCACCCCGGTTGGTCCTGACCCCGAAAAGAACTCTCTTGCAGTTGCCTCAGGGATTCATTGGCATCAAGTCGCCCCTGTCTAGCAATAGCCAGGTCATCCTCCAATTTTCTAAGCACATTTTCGTGCTTTCTTATATCTTCAACAAGAGTTCGGTTGTCAATAGACAGAGCCGTTTGCGTGCTGGATTGTAGCAACGCTTCGAGTTCCTTGAATTTGATTCCAAGGTCGTGATTGAGATTGGAAAACTTTTCAGCATCGAACTTCTGAGACTTTAATACTTTTCCCAGTCTCGCAATTTCTTGATCTTTGGATTTGTTTTCTCGTATCAGTTCAGTGACCCTGGCATCAAGGTACGCAGGGTCATAGGGGCCTTTGAACACGTTCATTTCGACGATGAAAGCTTCGAGTTGAGACTTTATGCAGTTGGAGAAGTTGGAAGTTTGATTCTGAAAACTCTTATACCTGACAATATAGACTAAGTGATATAAGAACGTATTTAATCGCGAGTTGGGGTAAAACCAAAAGAGTCGATTGGCCCTGCTCTTTTATACTTGTTCCCTCGAGATGACAAGTCATCGATTTGGAAGGGATGATAAGCAATTGGGCATGAAAATAGCACCCTGACTTATTTCCACGCACTTATTCCGTCATGCATGTAGTCATTTTTTTGCTTCTCCTGGATACGCGCCGAGTGAGCTTGTGCTAAATCAGGAACAACTTGAGGCTCGGAGGGCGAAGCTCGTCCTATCGCATAAATAGAGACAGGTCAGTTTGGGGTATCCAAACATTTGAATTTGCGACACTGCTACATGTATACGCAATTTAGACCCCGTCTTATAAGTACCGAAAACTACCCACATGTACAAGTTGTTCACCTGGGCAACTTGAACTGCTTTAGTCATCCGAGTCCTTCAAGTTCTATTTGAGCCCCAAGCCAGCAGACGACTTGAAAGACAGATCTCTCAGAGAAGAGCTAGTTTCCAAATTTCCTAACCCCCTTTCCTTCCTTACACAGTGCCAAAGTCTGCAATGTCAGCCACCTTGCATAAGATCATTGTTGGTGTCGATTTTGGAACAACTTTCACTGGTATGTGTCAAGTTATCTTCTAAGGGTGTATTTTAAATATCTGACCTTCGTTCCTCATTCAAATATTTAGGCATCAGCTGGGTCGACTCATCGAAGAAACATCTCAACGACATCGACCTGATTCGTTCCTGGCCTGGCCCTACCCGAGAGCAGGATGAGGTCTGTAAAACACCATCGCGAATAGCCTATAAATGTGAGAATCCATCTATCAGCAATGGGGCCGCATGGGGCTACCAGGTTGAGGCAAGAATGAAGTCCTACAGCTGGATGAAGCTTCTGCTTGATCCAAGTAGGTCTAATTCTCTCACTGCCGAAAGTTTGGATGTCATCAAGGAGGACGGGTTGATGTCAATCCCGTCATTCAAGTAGGGAGCCAGTGAAGTATGCTCTGACTATCTCCGAGAGATCTATCGATACACTATCTTATATCTCGAGAAACGTCTGGGCGCTGGGGTTGTTCAGGCAAGTCCCCTTAACTTCTGGTTCACGATCCCGGCAATGTGGTCGGATAAGGCAAAAGAGGATACACTTCGTGTTGCTATCAAGGCTGGTTTTAAAAGCCGACCAAAGGACGACATTACTATCATCACAGAGCCAGAGGCGGCTGCTATAGCTACTCTCACTACGCTCTCCGACGAGGAAAACGCATACGATGTCAGAGCTGGGGATATTATACTCATTTGCGACTGTGGTGGTGGAACGGTCGACATTATCACCTATCTTGTCAACCAGGCTAGTCCCGTATTCAAATTTGAGGAGCTTTTGGTCGGAATTGGAGGCAAATGTGGTTCAACATTCATCGATCGCAACTTCCAGCGGTGGATGGCCAGAACGTTTAAATCGGCCTGGGAAAACCTCAAGCCTGAAAAGAAGGGCCCTGGAAGTCGACTTATGAGAGATTTTGAGGCTGCAAAACGCGACTTTGGCACCCAGGGTACATTGGACAAGGACAAGAGATATGAAATTGAGTTTGTGATCCCGAATGCATCGGACTTTGAGCATTATGATGCCGATGAAGGATTGGTTGTTTTCACAAGGTTCGTGATCGCCTCGTCGCAAAATCCTCAACGTTTCCCCTGGATCCAGTCAATACTAATGAATGATGATGTATGCAGTACTGAGATGAAATCTTTCTTTCACCCAGTCATGCTACATATTGAAAAACTCTTAGATGATCAAATCCGCCAACTAAACCAAGTCAAGCCTTGGTCAAAAATAAAGGTACAGTGACCCCACAGAATTTGAAGCGTTTCCCATTTACGGTTCTCCGCAAGAACCTAGACTTTGATCTAACTATAAGTAGAAAGTTGTGTTGGCAGGTGGGTTTGGAGATTCTCCATATCTTAATGACACTCTTCGGGTCTGGTGTGGGGCACGAGGGATCGGCCTCATTTGCCCCCCGCATCCGTAAGACCCCTTTATTCCACGTTAAAAAGGCGATCCATCTAAATTATACTCAGACAAGCGAGCGTGGTGAAAGGTGCAGCCCTAGCAGCCTTGAAAAACAGCCGCCCACAGAAACGAAAATCCCGGCTGCATTATGGCGTGAACGTTAGCAAAGAGTTTCGAGAGGGGGTTGATTCCGAGAAGAAAGCTTGCTATAGTGACTGGGATGGCAGGAAAATGTGTACTGACCGTATGATGTGGATCATTAATAAGGTATTAGCAGTTTTTCACCCGTTATAATTTCATCACGAATAGCGCTGACAAACTGCCAACTTAAAAGGGTGACTCTATTGGCAAAGAAGACAAACTTTCTTACGATCTTGTGGAGTCACGGTTTGAAAATCAGTCTTTAGCGACATGCATAAGATTTTATACCTATGAGGACGATTGTGCCCCCGAGTGGTGTGATTCATGTAAGTCATTGCCACGTTCTCGTAACCTAATGTCTGATGGATTACTAAAGCTCGGTTTAAAATAGCATGTCGGAATGTCGGAAAGCTTTGTTGGGAGTTTAAGAAAAGTGACCTGGAATTGTTTGAGTCAAAAAAACATTCAAACGGTCAGACCATGTGGCAGATGGCATATAGCGTCGTTTTCGACCTCTTTGCAGATAAGGGCGTATTGCAGTTCAAGGCTATAGGTCCTCGAAATGAGAACCTTGGAGAGATTGCAATCGAATATAGTGGTGCCAGTGACCAGAGACACATTGGACCTCAAGAGAGGATAGGCATGGCATTTTCCACTTGAGGCTATCGAAAGCGAGAAAACAAACGGTTATTCAATGTTGGTGAGAGGGCGTGGGTGTAATAGTCTGAGTTATGAGTGAACACCTAATGGTCAATCTAGAAATTGAAATGGGATATAGAGCCTCGGGTTGTTGTAATTTCGAAATTAACAATCCCACTTCATAATAAGTTCGGAATTTTGAGTTAACTTCGTAGAAAACTGTGCGTAGCTTCGAACTTCGTGTCTCGACTTCCTTCGGTGTCTTCAATCACTGCTTTTTTTCCCTGCATTTTGCAAACCCCTTCAAAATAAAAGTACACAAGCAGAACCGCAATCTGACAACGGTCAAGTTCAGTATGTTGGGGGCGTGATTTCATCTGAGAGTGAGGTCCCAGTTACAAGTGTACAATGGGTGAATAAGCTTTCTTCTCAGCTTGACCCAATTAACCTATGGGGTTATGGCTAAGACCAAGGGTGATAGTCAACCCTGGACGCCGCATTGAGAAATCCGGACTGTTATGTGGGGTAATATCTCTTGTTACTTTCAGGCAGGCTGGTTAATTCAAGCCCCTGGTCGAGATGTCACCAACATTATCGACACCCAGAATGGGCACGAGGTGACATACTTTGGCGGTATCCTTGAGTATACTGTTTATGGTTACTAGGTAGAGCCTGCTCACCAAGGGACATCTGTGATGGTTCCGCCCCGCTTCTTACCATATGACAATCTGCCTTATTTGCGTTTTACATAGATTTAGGTTTGATAGCTAGATTTTAGACATTGTGTTGCCTAGCCTTTCGCCCCTTTACATTCGGGAGTATTACTCGTGAATCCGGGCCATTCCTGCCCAGGCAGCCGGAATTGTCTTTTTCTTCCCTCATCGTAGTCCTACTGTAATTTTGCTCGGTCATGGAAATCGCCGTAAAGATAGTCCCTCGGCTATTTTAGCACGCTCAGCATCCATAGGCCATGGGAGTGGTCCCTGCTACCGATAAATGTATATGGAATCTAGCCGGATAAAGCTATCTTCATTCGGCGATTTCACATCGACCTTATTTGGAAGCTAGGCAGCGTCATGTTCAAGCGGCGAATACAAGTTAGAAATTCCACGGTCTCATGGCCAAGAGCCACGCACTCTTGCCGTCGTTTGGCCGTCAACCCCGCTTCCTCGCTCTGCGTTGCCGTGTCACAGCTACTTCGGGTTTCTGGCCCACCCGTAAAGGCACAGCCACTTGTTCTCCGCCCGCGTCATCGTCTGGGGCCATCTCCTCTCCGCTCTGGGGACCTCCATCTCAACCGCTCAACCACCCTCTTTCCAACAGCCCCCCGATAAGCAGCTATATGGATGTTTGAAGCTCATTACCAGTTTTAAGCTATCCTGCGATTAGCGTTCGCATTCTAGCCTCGGTCGCTGGTAACCGCGCTTGATCAGGGCCCAGCCACCCCTGTGCAATATGCGGTCGGCATCCGCATTCCTTCTCACGGTAGTCGCTCTAGTCTGCTGCTTTCACTCGATAGCAGCTTGGAGCGATGTCTACGATGTAACTCTCGTTCCTCGATCTCTTTATCCTCTCCTTGACGACAGGCCCCCCGACTGTCCGCCCTGCTTCAACTGCCAGCTTGACTCCTACAACTGTACCCACTTTGCGCCCTGCAACAAATACAACGGCAAATGCTCTTGTCCACCGGGCTTTGGAGGAGATGACTGCTCGGACCCCGTATGCGGTTCGTTGGCCGATGGCGAGAACCGCCCGAGGCGTGAAGGTGACACCTGTAGCTGCAAAGATGGCTGGACCGGTATCAACTGCAACGTCTGCGAGTCGGACAATGCCTGCAATGCGATGATGCCCGAAGGTGAAGGTGGCAGGTGCTACAAGCAAGGTGTCACCGTCAAGGAGAATTTCCAGATGTGTGATGTAACAAATCGCAAGATCTTGGACCAGCTTGATGGCCGGAAACCTCAAGTGACTTTCTCTTGTAAGGAGGAGGATAAGACCTGCAACTTCCAATTCTGGGTCGGCCAGAAAGAATCCTTCTACTGTGGCCTCGACACCTGCGAGTGGGGCATGGAGAATGATTACGACACGAACACAACCAACTACAAGTGTGAGAATGCCCATTGCAGCTGCATCAAGGACCGGTTCCTATGCGGTGAAAATGGATCTATCGATCTCAGTGTCTTCCTTGACCAAGTCATTAAAGGTCCCGCCACTTTCTCCTCTGTATCGAACGCGCAAGGCTCCAAGAGCATCTTCTCGGAACCCGAAATGAACAACCTGATTAGTGGTGTCTTTGGTGACCCAAGTATCTTCTTATCCTGCAACTCTGGCGAGTGTCTATACAAGACCGATGAGCCGGGCTACGAGCGGCCGATCAAGAAAATCAACACTCCTCTGATCGCGAGTGTGATCGCTGGTTGCTCGCTCTTCGTTGTCGCCGTGATCTTGCTCGTCTGGTACCTGTCCCGTCGTGCTGCTCGCCGGGGCTACCTTCGTCTGTCTCTATCCGATGATTCCGACGACGAATCCGCCAAGCTTCTGGCTGAGCATCGGCCTGCGGCACTCTACTGGGATAATGTGTCTTACTACCTCAACGGCAAAGAGATTCTCTCTGGCATTCATGGTGCGTCCGGACCAGGGCAAATCACTGCGATCATGGGTGCATCTGGTGCAGGCAAGACCACTTTCCTAGACCTGCTAGCCCGGAAGAACAAACGTGGTGCCGTCCAGGGTAACTTCTATGTGAATGGTGAGAAGTTGGACGATCGCGAGTTCAAGAGCTTGGTGGGCTTCGTTGACCAAGAAGACACAATGCTGCCAACTTTGACCGTTCACGAAACTATCTTGACCAGTGCTCTTCTCAGACTTCCACGGGACATGAGCCGAGCTTCCAAGGAACAGAAAGTCATAGAGGTGGAAAAGCAGCTTGGAATTTACCACATCAGGGATCAGTTGATTGGCTCGGAAGAAGGCAAGGGTCGTGGTATCTCCGGTGGTGAGAAACGTCGTGTCGGTATCGCTTGCGAGCTGGTCACCAGCCCCAGCATTCTTTTCTTGGATGAGCCTACTAGCGGATTGGTATGAATAAGCAATACCATGATTACCCTCTCTTCCTGATGCTAACTGAGTTCTAGGATGCATACAACGCATTCAACGTGGTCGAATGCCTGGTAACCCTGGCCAAGACATATAATCGCACCGTCATTTTCACCATTCATCAACCGCGCTCTAACATCGTTGCTCTCTTCGACCGACTTATTCTCCTCGCGGGTGGTCGCACAGTCTATTCCGGTCCTTTCTCTACGTGCCAGCAGTACTTTGATCAGGTTGGATATTCTTGTCCGCCTGGGTTCAATATTGCGGACTACCTCGTCGATCTGACGATGCATGCAAGCGTGGCGAACTCTTACTCTGACGAGATCGGATCTGCAGTGGATGGACACAACGGCCCGCCCAAGACTGCTTCCAGCAGCCTCCGAGCGGTCAAGTCCGTCGCCAGTGCGTCCAATGTCAGCATCGAGGACAACTCGAGTACAGCACCAGAACCAACAAGGAGACCAAAGAACGGCCGGCGTGTGTCTGTCAAGCAGCAGCAAGACCGTCAGCTTTACTCCCGGCGAAAGGATCAAGAACAAAGACCCTTCACACCAAAGACTGATGAGGAGGATGCTACGCTTGATGTAGCGGAGAATACCCAACAATGGCTTCGGCTGAATCGCCAACAGGGCAATGTTCCTCCGCAGATTCTCGACGATCCTGACCAGCTGCCTCCCCCAGCACCTGGTCAAACCGATCTCGATATTCTGGTCGCCAGCTACGCTAGCTCTGACGTCTCTCGCTCGGTCCAAGATGAGATTGTGTCTGCTGTTCAATCCGCACAGAGTGCGAACGGCTCCAACAACTCGCATCTGACGAACGGTTATGGGATTGGGCAAATGAGCTATGCTCGAGTCGGTCTGGCTCGACAGTTCCTGATCCTCTCGCAGCGCACATGGCGTAACCTCTACCGTAATCCGATGCTCATGCTCACTCACTATGCTATCGCCATTTTGCTTGCCGTTCTATCCGGATATCTGTTCTACGGGTTGACGGATGATATCAAGGGTTTCCAGAATCGACTGGGTCTTTTCTTCTTCGTTCTGGCTTTGTTCGGTTTCAGCACCCTCACGAGTCTGACGGTCTTCTCCACCGAGCGACTATTGTTCGTCCGCGAGCGAGCCAATGGCTACTATCACCCGGTTACCTACTTTGCTGCCAAGGTTGTGTTTGACATAGTGCCACTCAGGCTCATCCCACCCATTATCATGGGTATCATTGTCTACCCCATGACCGGACTGATCCCCGCATGGCCCGAGTTCCTGCGCTTCATGCTGGTTCTGGTCCTATTCAACCTCGCCGCTGCTTGCATCTGCCTGTTTATCGGTATTATCTTCCGGGATGGCGGCGTGGCAAATCTGATTGGCAGTCTTGTCATGCTTTTCAGTTTGCTCTTTGCCGGTCTTTTACTGAACCACGATGCGATTCCCGCGTCCGCTTTGTGGCTGCAAAGCGTAAGTTTATCCCTTCCAAGCCCGGCTTATCAAGTATAGACTTGTTTCCTAACTCATCTCTAGCTGTCCATCTTCCATTATGGCTTCGAAGCTCTTATCGTGAATGAGGTCACCTTCCTCACCCTGATTGACCACAAGTATGGTCTAGACATTGAGGTTCCCGGAGCCTCCATCCTGAGCGCATTCGGCTTCAACACCCTTGCTTTTTGGCATGATGTGGTCGGCCTTGCCGTGATTTCTGGGGCTTTTATCATCATTGCATATGGAGCGATGCATTTCCTCCTCGTCGAGAAGCGATAAGCCTGCTCGGAACCTCCCCAGCACGACTAGGTAATTCTTCGTTTTGTTCGTTGGCACTTTTCGTGTTTTTGGCAGTTCAGTATTTTGTATCTTGGTTGAATGGCGTTTATATTTGCGCTCTGTTTCATGGTCAGTTTTTCTTCGTCTTTTAGAGCACTGGGAAGCCACCTT